GAGGGAGAGAGGGAGAGAGGGAGAGAGGGAGAGAGGGAGAGAGGGAGAGAGGGAGAGAGGGAGAGAGGGAGAGAGGGAGAGAGGGAGAGAGGGAGAGAGGGAGAGAGGGAGAGAGGGAGAGAGGGAGAGAGGGAGAGAGGGAGAGAGGGAGAGGGAGAGGGAGAGGGAGTACCCTTGGAATGGCCGGATCCAGCCTTAAAAGTACGAGATCGCGCGCGCTTCGCGCGCTGCACCGCCTGTTCTCCGCGGCTGTGTGACGACGCGTGCCGTGTGCCAGCACAGTTGGGCGCGCGCGGCGCGACGGCGCCCGCGAGGGAAGGCGCGGGTGCAGCGGCCGCCGGCGGCCGTACCGCCCGCCAGCCGGCGCAGCAGCGGCCAGCGCAGCGGCCGCCGGCGCAGCAGCCAGATCAGCCGGTGCGCGCATTGCGAGGCGAGTACTGCCGTCCGGCAGCCTTGAGGCGGCCGGGCGGCAGTACTCGTTGGACCGCGCCCGCGAGGGAAGGCGCGGGTGCAGCGGCCGCCGGCGGCCGTACCGCCCGCCAGCCGGCGCAGCAGCGGCCAGCGCAGCGGCCGCCGGCGCAGCAGCCAGAGCAGCCGGTGCGCGCCTTGCGAGGCGAGTACTGCCGCCCGGCAGCCTTGAGGCGGCCGGGCGGCAGTACTCGTTCGAACTTTGCGAGCCGTGCGCGCGCCGAGGCGCCCGCGGCGCGCGCCCGCCCGGCTGCCAGTAGGAGGCGGCGCAATATGGCCTATAGTACAGCCCTTGAGGAGGAGGAAGAGGCTGGCTGGCAGTGCTGTATGCCGCCGGGGGCAGTTTTTGGGTGCTGTCCCCATCCCAGGGGGCTGCTACAGATAATCGCTCCCCGCGCTCTATTTTCGCGTTGGAGGTTTGTTGTTAGCAGATCAAGACACAGAGCTTACACAAAATCACAGCGGGAGGAAAGCGGCGAGTCGCAATTCCAGGAGTCTTTGTGGCGGGCGGGCCACCCTGTCCAGAGAGGCACAGGTGCCAATCTGGGGTCTTTCGACCGAGTCTATGAGCCCTGGCCGCCTCCCGATCATGGTGGTGGTAAGGATCCGGCGCGCGCGCGTTGGGCGCCCATTCCGTTTGGCGGCTAGGTCGGCTCAGGGCCCCGCCCGTCCACTTCCTCCCGCTTGGCGCGTGATGTGTGAATCGGGCTTCTCGAGGTGTTCAAAATTCTTCCTTCCAATCTGTCTAGGGAGAAGTCTTCATTCGCGCCCGCCATAATTTCGATCCGATGAACGCGGATGCGTAATATCGAGTTTGATCCGATGAAGAAGGCGATCGGTTCGCACGCGACAGACCGCCCATACTACATAAAAGAAGACAACTCGCAAAACGCGGTATTATGGAGTGCGCTGCAACTGGCGTCGAGCGTCGCGGGCGATTGGTGTCGAGCGTTTTAGTGAGGTGGTGCCTTGACGGGAGGCAGCTGTCCGCGGGTGCTTCAGAAGCAAAGCGAGTGGCCATATCATCGACGCCGAGAAGCGAGCCGAGCCTCCGGCGGTGATTCGAGCCAGGCCTCCAGCGGTGCAACCTTGCCTCCGCCAGCGCCCCATCCGTGCCGGCCGCTCTTGGCGCGGCACCCGCCGGCGCTGCTGCCGTCGGCGGCAGCACGGACGCGCGCATATGTGGCACTTGCAGACACGCCAAGTTTCTCACCCTCGATTCAGCGTTGAGTTTTCGCCCTTCACGCACACCAAAACGAATTCAGCACTTGAGCACTGGATAGGGTCGATTCCGCATGGTACGGGACCCCATGAACACCCCAGTGCATGCCGTCCGCCACATGGGCTGCCATCGGCATACACGAGGAGGTATGTTGATTGATTGTTGTTCGCAGATCAAGACACAGAGCTCACAGTCTTATTTCTTGAGCTCACACACGAAAGCGGCCCAAAAAGAGTGAAAAATTTTAAAGGACAACCCGCGTTTTCTTGTTGTCGCGTCAGCGTGCTGAGAGAGAGATTTGTCACTCCCTTTGTTCTCTTCTCATAAAATTGGAGGGTCGTCGGCACAGCAAGGCTGAATTCTTCTCGGCAAGGAAACGAGGGTTGTGCGACGGCAAGGTCCGTCTGGTCTCCATTTGCTCCAAGTGCTCCAAGTCTGGTGACGGTTGTTTGCCAAGGCCAGGACAGGCTCGTCAAGCACTGCCCGAGCGCTTGCATGCCGACTCCGCCTCTGTCGCCAGCCAACGAGTTAGGCGACATCGAATCATCCGTGTCGGTGAACGCGTCCGAAGCGATGATCACAGAGGCTGCCGGCCGCAAGGTTTCACCATCCGAACCGACTCACACCCCGCCATCGACGCCAGCGACGAAACAGACGCTGGCTGTGCTGGGCGTGACGCTGGCGATGCTGCTTGCGCCAGCGCTGGTGGAGAGCGGGCGACCCGAGGTCGCGCGCGGCGCTGCGGTGCTGGGCGTCATGGCGTTGTGGTGGGTGACAGAGGTGCTGCCTCTGCCTATCACGTCGTTGCTGCCGATGGTCCTGTATCCGCTCCTCGGCGTTTGCTCCGCTTCCGAGCTGGCAAAGGTCTTCTTCGACGCCACGTCGATGCTTTTCGTGGCGGGTTTCCTGGTCGGACTGGCAGTGGAGCGGTGGGGCATGCATCGCCGCATCGCCTTCTCCGTCGTGGCTCTCGTGGGCGGCGGCGGCATGGCGGCGCTCATCGCGGGCTTCATGGGCTCGACGTGGCTGCTGTCAATGATGATCTCAAACACGGCCACCACCCTTGCTATGCTGCCTGTGGCGGATGCGTTTCTCGCCAGCCTGCCGCCCGGCACCGAGCGCTTCCAGTCGGGCTTCCTGCTGGCCATCGGCTACGCGGCGACGATCGGCGGCATCGCCACGCCCGTCGGCACCCCCACAAACGCCATCTTCCTCTCTCAGTACTCGCTCTTCTGGCCGGACGAGCCCGAGTTCTCCTTTGCGACCTTCACGCTGGCGGCGCTGCCGCTCTCCGGGTGCCTGCTCGTCGTCACGTGGCTCGCGATATGTGTACGCTTCGTCTGGCGCGCGCGCACGCCCCTCCAGGTCGACGACCTGCGGGCCTTCACGCGCTCGCGAGACGCGCTGGGCGCGTGGTCGTACGAGGAGTTGGTGCTTTGCGCAGACCTCGGCGCCCTCATCTTGCTCTGGTTTACGGCGTCGTGGTGGAAGCCGTACGTCGCGCCCTCGCTCAACTCGGGTGCAATCGGGCTGGCAATGACGCTGCCGCTGTTTCTGGTGCCGTGCGGGCGCTCGCTGCCCGCGTCGCTGCGGCGCAGGGTGGGCGCGACGCGCTGCACGAGCGCTGCGGCGGCAGCTTACGACAGCGTCCCAAAGGGTCTCGGGGCGGCGCCGCCGCCGCGCTGCATCCTCGATTGGGACGCGGTCAAGGCGAACTTTAAGTGGGAGATCCTCTTCATATTCGGCGGGGGGTACATGGTCGCGCATGGCACTGTGCGCTGCGGCTTAGCCGGTGTGATCGCTGACTGCCTGTGTAGTCTCGGCCTTGGCCACGCGGCGCTGCTCTTTGTCATCACGCTGGTCGTCTGCTTCGTCACTGAGGTGGTGTCCAACATGGCCACCGCAGCCATCTTTGGACCGATTGTGGTGGCAGCCGCTGCGAAGGCGGGATTCTCACCTGTGGTCATGCTGCTCTGCGTGGCGCTGTCGTCGTCGTTTGCCTTCATGCTCCCGATGGCTGGCGGGCCCAATATGACCGTCTTCTCCACCGGCCGAGTCTCCATCCGCTTCATGGCCGCGCAGGGTGTGGGGCTCAACTTGGTCGCCGTCTGCCTCGGCTGGATGTACTTCTACTACGTCATGCCCGCTCTGCTTGGCTCGGCATACACTGAGCTCAGCCTCGGATTCACCAGCACAGCGTGAGACAGCGTGCAAGTCTAAATCTTGCTTACCTGACCGAAGAATCTGGGGCACATCTCCACACGGAGGGCACACACACGTATGTGCACCACAAAACGAAAAAAGAAAAAGACAATTTGGCGCCCGCCGCCGCCGAAAAACCCCGCGCCAAGCGCCGCCCCGCCCTCGTCCCTAGAGGGCCTAGCTAGAGTGTAGAGAGAGAGCCGTATCTAGACGGTACTGGGGCTTAGAGTTCCATCCTGGCTTGGCGTCCCCTGGCTCCTCCCTCCTGCCGACTGGGTGCACCACGTGTGCCCTCCTGTCGTCGTCTAGAGAGGTGGAGACGCAAGGGTCGCCCCCCTCCACCCAAGTGTGTGAAGAAGTTTACCTTACCTTACCTTGCCTGCCCTCCGACTCACCGACGTTCCTCCTCGCTGCTAGCCGCCCAACGCAGCCATCTCTCGCTCGCAACGGGTGCAGAGGCACCAGAAGCCGAGCTCGCGCTCGAGGCGCTCGCGCCGCTGCCGCACGGCCGCCGCCGCCAGCCACGCCTCGTCGAGGTAGGAGAACGAGATCGCCTCGCCCGCTTCGATCGGCCGCCTCGCCACTACCTCGAGGGCCGCGCCGCCGCCGGCGCGGCGGACGCCCACGCTCGCGTTGGGCGCGCAAGAGTGCTCGAGCAGGCAGGCGGCGCTGTAGATGCCGACGCTGCGCTCGTCGATCGTGAAGAGGTTCGTCTGCAGCCGCAGCAGCAGCTGTGAGCAGGGCGGGGCGTGAGGACGGCCGCGTGTGCGAAGGTAGGACCCCGGACGAGATTAGCCGAGATAAACCTCCGCCACGACGCCCTCGGCCAGCGGCACGTGCCGCGCAAACAGCCGCGCAAAGTCGCGCGTGCTACGGGAGAGCGCCTCCTCCTCCTCGCCCGCCTCCTGCACCTCGCCGCCGCAGCTCGCCGCCGGCTCGAGGTGCGATAGCAGCCAACGGCAAAGTGATGGGGCGGCGGCAGCCTAAGGAGCGTGCGCCGCACGTGTCTGTGTGCGTGGCCCGCCGGCGTACGCGGCGGCGGCCTCGGTGGCCGGCCGCCGCCTGCGCAACCATGGCGAAGAGGCTGCACACGCGCACTCCATTCTCCCTCTCGCCGCCCCGCATCGTCGCCGCCTTCGCACTCGCACCGCGGTGCCACTCCCTCGCCGCCGCGGGCACGGCCGGCCAGCGGCACCCGGACGGCTCTCCTGAGCAGCCTCCAGTGCGTTCGCCGCAGCCTGGGCAGCGGTCGACAGCACAGCCGCCTCGCAGCACCGGTGCCTCTGTTAGGACTATTTCGCCAGCGCGAAGATGCCGAGTGGCTAGTGTCCTGCGGCCGACTGTGCCGCCGTCCGTCACGCACACTGGCGTGCAGCAGTAGGATGCGTGGCGTCGGCGCCAGAAGCTGCGGGCGTTACGGGTGCGGTGAACCGAGGCCGGGGAGCCACCTGCTGCCATCGATCGCTGACAGAAAAGAATTTTACAAAGCGCACGACACGATTCACTGGGCACGGGACAAGAGAGATCGCTTGAATGCCGGCATTCAAGCGCGACAGTGCTAGCCGCCTCCGCGATGCTGAGCGGTGCATGAAGGGCGGCGAGCCGCTGACGATGAGCGAGGCGTCCTTCTCTCTCCCGTGCGGTTAAGGGTGGGGTAGTGCCCCGATTCTATCCGGGGGGATTCCCCTTTGGTTCTCTCTCTCTGCCGCAGGCCTCCAAGGCGCACGCGCGCATTGACGGCCTCGCTCGACGAGAAAGAAGGAGAAGGAGGCCCGCCGCCGCTCCGCTGAGAGGAACAAGGCGATTGAGCAGCCGGGTGTCGGCGACCAGCAGCACCGCCGCAAGCGTAAGCCCGATTTGACTCGTCATCTCTTGCGACCCACAGGTTGAGACGCATCGCCGATTCTCGCTGCAACCTTCATGCCACCTCGCGGTCGTCCCACCTCTCGTTGGTATCTTGTTGGCAAACAGGACACTCTCGTAGTTCTCTCTGCTGAGTGCTGTCGCTTCATCCTCTGTCTCGTCGCTCTCCTCTGCCTCGTTCTGCGACGACGCCGCCGCCTGCCGATCCCTTGCGCACTTGGAGCACTTGGAGTGCAGTTGGCAACCGCACATCCAGGGCCGGGGGGCTAAGAAGCACACCCAGCGGGCCGGATGATTGGCATCGGGTTACCGGCTAGAGCGCGGACTGGCGCGCTCTAGCCCATGGGCTAGAGAGCCCTAAAAAAAAACAAAGAAAACAGACACGCCAAACGAGGGATGGGACGAGGACAGGGTCCCCACCTGCACGAGCAGGATTTTGGAAGGACGTAGAGAGCCCTATTCCTGGCGGATAGCCGCAGTGATTTTTTTCCCGCGGCACAGCGATGACCGCCTCGACGCCTTCTCCGCCGCCGCCGAGCGGCACCGCGCCGCCACCCGGCTCCGAGACTATTGAAGTGGGCGGCTGGCAGGTCGTCATCACCGACGGGCACGCGCTGCTCCCCGAAGGCATGACGCACCTGCCGTACGAGGCGTTTCAGCTCCACACCTCTCTCGTCTCGGTCGCCTTCCCGCGCAGCCTCGTCTCCATCGGCAGAAGCGCCTTCTCCCGCTGCCCCTCCCTCTCCTCCATCAACTTCCCCGCCGGCCTCACCTCCATTGACGATTACGCCTTCCGCCGCTGCTCCGCCCTTGCCTCCATCACGCTGCCGCTGCCCGATGGCCTCTCGATCGGCGACAGAGCCTTCCAAGACTGCCCCATCAACGACGCGTCGAAGGCAGCAGTGCGGGCCATCAACTTTTGGGCGGTGCGGCCTTCAATCGACACGCAGGGGCACGCCACTGTGCCGGAGGGCCTCGCCTCGGTCGGCGAGTCCGCCTTCTCCAGCTGCCCCTCCCTCTCCTCCGTCGACCTCCCCGCCAGCCTCACCTCCATCGACGCGGGTGCCTTCGACGGCTGCACCGCCCTTGCCCACGTCACCCTCCCCGCCAGCCTCACCTCCATCGGCCTGCAAGCCTTCAGCCGCTGCTCCGCCCTCGCCTCCGTCACCTTCCCCGCCGCCCTTACCTCCATCGGCGAGCATGCCTTCCGCAGCTGCTCCGCCCTCACCTCTGTCATCTTCTCTGCCGACCTGACCTTCATCGGCAGCCTCGCCTTCGAGGGCTGCTCCTCCCTCACCACCGTCACCTTCCCCGCCGGCCTACCCGGTGGCCTCTCGATTGGCGATTGTGCATTCTTCGGCTGCCCCCTCAACGACGCGTCAAAGGCAGCAGTGCGGGCCATAAACTTTTGGGCGGTGCGGCCTTCAATCGACGCGCAGGGACATGCCACCGTGCCGGAGGGCATCACCACCATCGCTGTCGGCGCCTTCTCCGACTGCTCCGCCCTCGTCTCCATCACCCTCCCCGCCAGCCTCACCTCCATCGACTTCGAATCCTTCGATGGCTGCTCCTTCCTTACCTCCGTCACCTTCCCCGCCGGCCTCGTCTCCATCGGCGACTTCGCCTTCTACCGCTGCTCCTCCCTCGCCTCCGTCACCTTCCCCGCCAGCCTCGTCTCCATCGACAACTTCGCCTTCGCCGAATGCTCCCTCGCCCGCGTCACCGTGCCAACCACCGCCAAGATCGGCGACGAGGCCTTCGACTCCACGACCACCGTCCTCCGCCTCTCGCCTGCGAGCATGCGAGCCCAGGCTAGGGCGGCGGAGGCGGCGGCAAGAGAGGCTGAGATGGCGGCGGCGGCGGCGGAGGCGGATCGGAACGCGGAAGCGCTTCTGGCGGATGAGGAGGCGGAGAAGGAGGCGGAGCAGCGCGCCAAGGAGCGCAAGGCCAAGAAGAAGAAGAAGAAGAAGGGCAGGGGCGGGGGGAGCGGCGCCGGGCCGTCGCAGGAACCGGAAGGCGAGGGGGCAGAGGTGATTGCGGCGGCGGAGGGGGAGGCGGTGGCGGCGGCAGAGGAGGCCGAGTTGGCGGCGGCGCTCCAGGAGAGCGCGAGGCTGGAGGAGGAGAGGCGGGTGGCGGAGGAGCAGTCGCCCCAGCCGGAGGCGCTGCCTAGGGAGGAGGAGCCGCCGCCGGCCGACTTCATCTGCCCGATCACGACCGAGGTGATGAGCGACCCGGTGATGGCGGCGGACGGCCATTCCTACGAGCGGAAGCAGATCGAGCGCTGGCTCGCGACCAAGTCGACGAGCCCGATGACGGGCGAGGCGCTCCAGCACACGCACACCTTCCCAAACCACGCGCTGCGCGGGCGGATTCGAGAGTGGCAAGAGTGACAACGAAAAGCGACACGGCTCTTTAGCCTTCTAGCCATATAGAGCGGAGTTGCGGAGGAGGTGTACGAGGAGCCAGCTGCGTCTTTATTTGCTGCCTGAGGTTTTCTTTTTCGAGGCGTGTGCGGAGTGAACCTAGGAGTGAACCTGATAGGAACCTCGCCGCTAATCATGCAGTACATTGGACACAAGACGGCCACTACTGAACTAGCGCCCGAGCGCCGCCGCCAGCGCGGGCGGCGCGGCTGCGCCCGCCGCGCTGCAGCGCAACGGCGCCACGCCGGCCGTCTCCGCGGGCGGCTTGGCGGCGCGCTGGGTCGGCGCCTGCGGCCACCAGTTCGCCTCGCCGAGCAGCGCCATGGCGGCGGGCACGAGCAGGGGCCGCATCACAAACGTGTCGGCGAGCACCGCGAAGACGAGGTAGAAGGCCACCATGTCGAGCGTCGGGTTGGCCGAGAAGAGCAGCCCCGAAAAGGCGATGGCCATGATGAGGCCCGCCGAGGAGATGATGGAGCCGGTCGAGGTGACGCCGTGCCGGATCGCCTGCTGCGTGGTCGCGCCCTTGCCGCGCAGCTCGGCGACGCGCGCGAGCAGGAAGATGTCGTAGTCGAGGGAGATGCCGACCAGGATGGGGAGCGAGATCACGGGCACGAGCCACATCTGCGAGTCGGTCCGCGCCAGCCCGCCCAGCCCGGTCCACTCGAGCCAGCCGTGCTGGTAGGTGAGCACCGCCGCGCCGTACGCCCACGTGACGGTGACGCCGATCGAGACCACCGAGCGGAGCGGGATGACGAGCGAGCCAAACGTGCAGCCGACGAGCAGCAGCACCAGCAGCGCCATCACCGCGACCATCACGGGCATCAGGGCGAAGACCGCGTCCTTGCAGTCGTAGATGTCGCCCGGCACGCCGGAGATGGAGGCATCGATGTCGAATGTGACCGAGACGCGCGCGAGGGTGTCGCGCGCCGCGTGCAGCCACGCGTCGCCCTCGGCGCCGAGCGGGTCGACGTCCATCACGACCATCGCCATCGCGGCGCTCCCGTCGTCGTTGAGGAAGCGCCGCTTCGCGTAGCGCAGCCCGGCGCAGAGCGGGCCGAGCGGGTCGCCGCCCGCGGCGAGCGGCGCGAAGAGCTGCTCCGCGAGGCCGCCGGCGGCGCGCAGAGCCTCGCGCCGCTCGGCTCCGAGCGAGGCGAGAGACGGAGAGGGCGGCGACGCCTCCAGCGCGGCTCCGTCGGCCGGGCGGTGCGGCACGAGCTCGCACGTCTCGTAGAGCAGCCACGGGACGGGCGTGCCGCTCTTGTACGCGAGCGAGTCGATCTCGAAGCCGGCGCCGCCGCCGCCGCCGACGCGCAGCGCCGGCTCCGCCTCGAACTCAGCGAGCGCGCTGGCGACGGAAGAGAAGAAGTGGCGCGAGGTGGCGGAGCCGGTGCGCGGCCGCAGCAGGATGGAGTACGGGTTGAGGTGGCCGGCGCCGAACTCGCGCCCCATCCGCTCGAAAGCGGCGCCGAGCGCAGAGCCGCGAGGGATGGCTTGGTCCCAGCCGTCTGTCGTGGCGAGCGTGGTGGCGGTGAGGCCGAGCGGCACCGTCAGGCCGAGCAGCGCGGCGACGCAGAGCAGGTTGAGCGGCCAGCGCGTCGTGAGGCCGCTCAGCCGCCACCAGAAGCGCTGCGGGCAGCTCAACGCCTCCGGGGCAGGCAGCGCCGACCGCCTGTCGCCGCCCTGGTCCGTGGCGGCAGTGAGGCGCTCAAAGGCGGAGTCGAGGGTCGGCCCCTGCGGCGCGGCGCCGCCCTCTTCGAGCGATGCGAGCGGCGGCGGCGAGTCGTCGTCGGCGTAGCGGCGGCGGCAGAGCGCGGCGAGCGGGCCGCAGCAGCAGGGCTCGCGCGCACCAAAGAAGGCGGGGAAGGAGAGCAGGAGGGCGGGGACGAGGGAGAGGTTGACGGCGAGGACGAGGAGGAGGGCGAGGGTGCAGCCGATGCCGAGCGAGGAGATGACCTGCTCGCGCGAGAGGGGGAGTGCGCTCTCTCGGGGTGAGGAGCAGAGGGGGTGTGAGCTCTCTCGGGGTGAGGAGCAGAGGGAGTGTGAGCTCTCTCGGGGTGAGGAGCAGAGGGAGTGTGAGCTCTCTCGGGGTGAGGAGCAGAGGGAGGCGGCGGCGAGGGCACCGAGATGGGGAAGAAGAGGAGCGCGACGAAGGATGCGGCGAGGGTGAGGCCGGAGACGAGGACGGTCATGCCGGCGGTCTGGAGCGTCACCTCGACGGCGGCGGGCACCGACCTGCCCTGGAGCCGCTCCTGCCGGAAGCGGGTGAGTAGGAAGAGCGCGTAGTCGATACTCATCGCGATCAGAATCGACATCATCAGCGAGGGCGTGATCGTGAAGATGGGCGTCGCGCGGGCAATCAGCGCCGTGATGCCAAAGGCGCCGGCGGCGGCGACGCCGATGGTGAGGAGCGGCACGAGCAGCAGGCGGAAGGAGCCGATGACGCCCGCGAGGATGGCGAAGGAGAGCGGCAGCACGATCGCGTCCATGTGCTCCAGGTCGCTCATCGCGGTGTCGGCAGCCTCCTCGATGATGAGCGGGGCGCCGAGGAGGTCGACCTCGAGCGAGGAGCCGTGTGCCGCCTGCAGCTCGTCCACCCGCTCCTCGAGCCAGTGCAGGTAGTCGATGGTCGGCTGGTCCGTCATGTAGGTGGAGCACTCCACCTCGATCAGAGTCGACGACGACGAGTTGGAGACAAAGCTGGGAGCGAGGTCCTGCGGCCGCATCCCGAGCTTGAGGAGCGGGTAGTAGCCGGCGACGTCGTGCGTCAGCGAGTGGTTGCGCGCGACGGCCTCGAGCGTGTCCGACGCCGCCCGCGCGTCGGCCGACTCGAGCACTGAAGAGCCGTCCCGCGTGGAGAGGAGGACGACAAACTGCGTCGCGCGGCCGGCGACAGGGAACTGCGCCTGCAGCGCCGCGTTGGCCTGGTGCGCCGCACTCGACGGAGGCGGCGTGAACTCTTGCGTCGTCGCCGAGAAGATGCCGGGAGCGAACGGCGCAGTCGCTGCGAGAAAAACGAGCCAGAAGGCAACGACGAGGCGGCTCCGCCGCTTGATGAGCCGAGCGTACGAGCGGATCGCTGTGGCGATGAGAGAGTCATCGGCGACGGCCACCATTGTTTTTGGGTTCTGGCAAGCACAGGCTGAGAGTGTGCACAGGGCCGAAGTGTGTCGCCCTTGGCTGCTTGGCCGGCCTTGAGGAGGAGCGAAGAGATATCAGGTCATTCCTCGTGGCCTCGGCCTCGCCGCTCGCCGCAGGGGCTGCTGCAAGCTGAAGCTAATTGACGACCTGCTCCGCCGTGAAAGAACCGAACCGGGTCCTCTTCGTCCTCGGTCCTCAACCACAACCTGGTTCTTCCCCTCTTTTTTTCGAGGAGGCGAGGTCCGATCGAGATTGTTAGCAATTTGTTTTGAGGTCCGAGGAGCGCCTCGCCAGGGGGAACAGTTGTGTAGTTTGAGACTCACACATGAGACATGAGCATGTCACGTGCGACGTGGCGGCGGCGGCGGCCCCAGCGAGATCCCAGGGTGCTGAAGTGTGCCACACGCCACCCACCCGCCGGGGCGAGAGCCGACGGGCGCGGCAATTTTTTTCTCGCCCCTCATAGCCCCGCCGCGTCGGCGCGCATTTTTGCCTGCAGCTGCTTGAGCGGCGCGCTGCTCGGGTCGGCCTTGAGCCCCAGCGCCACCGCCTCGGCCGCCCCCTCGCCGTCGCCCGAAGCGAGGGCGGCGTCGGCGGCGCGCCACCAGGCCGCGGCGGTGCGGCGCGGCTCCGCGCGCGGCTCCGCCTGCGCCGCCAGCCTCGCGTCGCGCGCCGCCTCCCAGTGCCGGCCGAGGGCGCGGTGCGCGGCGGAGCGGTTGTAGTAGAGGGCGGCGACGGCGCGCGCATTGGGCGGCTCGAGCGCGAGGGCCTGGGTGTAGGTGGCGGCCGCGTTCGCGTGCAGCCCCGCGTGCTGGTGCCGGTTCGCCTCCCGCGTCAGCCGGAGCACCTTGGACTTGAGCTCGCCAGGGTCGATGACGAGGTACGGCTTGAGCAGCCACTGGGCAACCTCGTGCGCGCTCTCCTCCTCGGCGCTCACTGCCGCGCCGCCGCCGCCGCCGCCGGACGCGTCGCCGCCGGGGCTGGCATCGACGATGTGGCCGTTGGACGGCGCAGGAGCGGCGGCGGGAGTGGCGGGAGCGGCGGCAGGCGCAGGCGAGGGCGGGAAGAGGGCGTCCGCCAGCGTGGTGGCGTCGGACGTCTCGATGCCAATCTCGTCCAGGTTCTCGAGCAGCATCTCGCGCCCCATCGAAGTGAGGAGCGCAACGTCGGTGATCGCCTCCTCGGCAAAGGCGGGCGCGAGCGCCTCGAGGCGGAGCGAGCTGAGCAGATGCGCGAGGTCCGTGCTCACGGAGTCCATTGCGGGCGGAGAGGGAGGAGGAGGAGCTTACGGTACTAGGGGCGTCGACGACGAGGGTCGGCGACACGAGTCGCAGCGGGAGGAAGCGAGCCACACAAACGAAGGAGGCTGAGGCTCCAAAGAAAACGCGCGCAACATGACTGCACTAAAATTAGGGACCGAAAGCCCTCAGCTCCCCACCGTAGCGCATGCGCCGCTCTCTACTACTGTACTACACACACGTGCTCCGCGCGGCGCCCACCCCTCCCAATAAATACTACATGCGCATGTGCATGTGCACAGACGCCCCTGCCGCGCTCCTTCCCCTTGGGCACATAACAGTCGGCCCGCGCCACTGACAGTGGCTGGCCCGCGCTGCGAGCTCGCGCTTTCCCGTTCAAGCTGCACAGAGCGGCGCGCGGGTGAGGAGCGCGCGATAGGGATGCAAGTGCGTCCTACGGCCTGGCGCCGTCCCAGTGACGCTCAGTTGTGGTACGCGGAGCCGCCGTGCTTGCTGGAGTCCATGCCCACCTCCTCGATCTCGCGCGAGACGCGAAGCAGCCCGGTCTTCTTGAGGGCGAAGAAGAGAAGCGCCGTCAGGCCGCCCACCCAGGCAACCTCGATGATGAGCGCGACGAGCTGCGCGGAGAAGAGCATGCCGCCGCCGTAGATGATGCCATAGTGCGCCTTGCCGGCCACGTCCCCGTTCTTGCCGTCCCAGCCGAAAGATAGGTAGTCGTAATGCCCAAACCAGCCAACGGCCAGCACGCCCCAGAAGCCGCAGGCGCCGTGCACCGCAAAGGCGTCGAGCGGGTCGTCGATCTGCAGCTTGAGGAGGAGCTTAGAGGCGCCGTAGTAGACGAATGCTCCGATGAAGCCGGTGAGGAAGGCGGCCCAAGGGAGCATGCAGGCGCAGCCTGCAGTGATGGAGACGAGGCCGGCGAGGATGCCGTTGCAGACCATGGCCACGTCGTATGTCTGGGAGAAGATGCGGTCGAAGAAGACGACGGTGATGCCGCCCACGGCGGCGGAGAGGGTGGTGCACATGGCGGCGCGCGCCATGATGGTGCCGTACCCGGCGGGGGTGATGCCGAGGGTGGAGCCCGGGTTGAAGCCGTACCAGCCCATCCAGAGAATGAAGGTGCCGAGAACCTGGAAGGGGGCTGAATGGCCGGGCATCGGCACCACCTTGCCGTCGGCGTCGAATCGGCCCAAGCGAGGGCCAATAGCGATGGCGCCGCAGAGCGCCGCCACACCACCCGTCAAGTGCACCACGCCCGAGCCCGCAAAGTCGATGCAGCCGCCGAGGATCGTCTTGTCCTTGTCCTCGGTGAAGGCGCCCGAGAGGAAGCCGTTGTTGCACCAGACCCAGTGAACGACGACGGGGTAGATGAAGCCGGTGAGCACGGTGGTGTAGATGAGGTATGCCTCGAGGGCGCAGCGCTCGGCGACGGCACCGGAGACGATGGTGGCAGCGGTGGCCGCGAAGACATACCTTGCGCGAGGGGTCGCGATCAGGGGCCGCCGCTACGATGCTGGTGGGGAGTGGCTCTGCGCGGTGGCGGCTGGGGCGGCGGCGCGCAGGGAGGACTCACTGGAAGAACCTGCGCGGGCGGGAGGGGCGGAGAGTCGAGGGTGGGCACAGGGCAGCCGCGCTGCGGGGCGCGCGCGGAGCGGCTGTGCGAGCGGGGGAGGAGGAGGCGCTTGCCAGAGCGTCATCGTTGTGCCGTTGTTCTGCGAGTCCTCTCCAGCCCAGCCGACCGCCAGGAAGGGCCCACCGTTGTTAGGGGCCGTTCCGATGAATGTGTTCCCGTCGCTGTTGCCCGAGTCGCCGTAGGCGACGCCAAAGCCCCAGGCCCACCAGATGATGGCACCGATGCAGGCGTCCAGCAGGTTCTTGAGCAGGATGTTCTTGGTGTTCTTGCTTCGCACGGTGCCTGCCTCGAGCAGCGCGAACCCGCACTGCATGAAGAAGACGAAGACGCCGCACACGAGAAGGTAGAAGGCGTCGAGCGCCTGGCCATTCTGCAGGTTGGCGAGCGTCACCCCGTTGGGGGGGAAAGGGGGTGCCGACGGCGACGGCGGCGAGGCCATTGCGAGGTTGGCAAGGTTGGCTTTACGGTGCTGCCGCAGGGCCTTCCTTTGGAAGCAATTCCACGATCAATACGCGCGCCCGCAGGAAGGTTGAACGCGCTGCAAAATCCCCCCGTGAAATCCTTGATGTGGTGGCGGCGTGCCGTCCTCCCACCCCCCTTGGGGCACAAACGCCAGGCTGCAAACACGGGGAGGCACGTGGTCATCTCTCATCCCCTGCTCTCCCATCCCTCCCCTGGGTGCCCAACAGGATTCTTCAGTGTTGAGCTCCTACGAAACCGGGAGGGGGATTTTTTTCCCTTGGGGTCAAGTGGTAAAAGAAAGAAAGAAAACAGACAGCCCAAGGAGGGATGGGAGGACGGCACGCCGCCACCACACATGGATTTTAAGGAGAGGTGTGTGGTGCGCTAGCCGTCGCCCACCCTAGGGAGTCTGCCTCTTCCTATCTCTCTTCGCAGTATCTCTGGGATTATTTTGAACCTCTTCGATTTTGCGGCCCGGGCCGTCCGACACGCAGCTTGGACAAGGTTTCGCCGCATCCTCGGAGCCATCGAGCGTTCGCAAGCGGCTCTACGACGACGGCCTCGGTGTGGCCGGGCACACCGCCGCCACACTTGCACAGCCGATTTGGCGTACCGTGCGCCATCGCTCATGCCGGACGCTCTTATCGATGTGCCGCACCGGGTGCAGCTTCCAGGAACGGCCTGCGCTCTGTTCTGTCTCGGCATGGTGATGGACTACTGGCACGCCCACGACTCGGCCAACCCGACGGCGCTCGTGTGCGACAAGGACGAGTCGCTCCAGCGGCTGGAGCCGCACGTGTCTCGCTTCAGCTGCGCGCCGACGACGCCTCGGCGGCTCCTGGACGTGGCAATCGCCCTCGGCCACACGCACAACGGCTCTTGCTGGTCCGCCTCCCACTTGGTGGAGCTGGCCGCGTCGTTTGGGTACGCGGCCCGCGCGGTGCACAGGGCCTCGGCCGCTGACCTCAAGGCGGTCCTCTCCTCGGGCCACCCGCCGCTCGTCATCTTTGACGTTGACCTGTGGACGGGCGACCCGGTGCTCGCCGGGGGCGGCGCGGCGCACGTCGGTGTCGCTCTCGGGTCTCGCTCCTCCGCATCGCCCGAGCCGTGGCCGCGCGAGCCGGAGCCGCCGCACGCCGCCGACGCCGCCGCTCGAGAGCAGGCGCCGAGCGCCGTCCCAGCCTCCCTCCACTCCGACTGGGTCGTGGCGAAGCACCCTCAGGCAAGGTCTGCGGCGGCGTACGTCTGGCCGACGGCGGTGCTCGCGGCTTCGATGGCGAACGTGGCCCGCACCACCAAGGCGGATTCGCGCCCTCTCCCTCCCGCGCTGCTGCCGCACCTCGCCTGGCAACCCGCGGACGGAGAGGCGGCGCCGGGCGAGCTGCTACGCGGCGCCGCTACGGCTGTGGGGAGGCGCTGCTCACGTGCTGCTGTGAACAGGCGAGCTGGTGGTGGACCCGTCCCTCCGGCTGGGCGGCACAGTCGAGGCGGTGCTTGGGCGGGTCCTGAAGGGGTGGGTGCTGGTGACTTGATTGATTGGTCGTTGGTGATTAGGCGGTGCTCGGGCGTGTCCCGGAGGGCTGGCTGAGACGAGTGAGGCTGCCGGCGGAGGCGGCGGGAGGCGGGGCGGCGGGCAGCGAGGCGGCGGGCAGCGAGGCGGCGGGAGGCGGGGCGGAGGCGCTTCAGCTGGTGGCGGGCAAGTCCCTCAACATCGAGCGCTGCCTCGGCGGCTGCCTGGTCGAGGTGGTGCCTCGGGGGCACGAGTTCGCCTCCCTGCCGGCCTCCTCGTCGGCGGTGATCGCCGCTGCGTGCGGCGGGGCTGAGTCGTGCGGCGGGGTAGGGTCGTGCGGCGGGGTAGGGTCGTCGGCGGCCGTCGGGCGGACGGGCGGCCGCTGCCGCTGCCGCAGCCGGGCAGACCTCCCGCTCTCGTTGCCACCCTGTCCCCGCACTGCACACGCAGCCAGCCGGGCCGCACCGAGTCAGACCGGAGGCAACGGCCTCACGCCGCCGCCTCTGGTGTCGCACTTGGCGCCGCCGCCAATCGGACTGCACTCAGCTCGCGCCCAGACGTCCGCCAATGGCACGCCACCGCCGCCGCCGCCGCCACCGCCGCCACCGCCGCCGCCGCCGAGGCCAGCGGCCAGCACGGTCGGAGCGGCTTCGTCCAGTCGGCTGGATGTGGTGGGCGCCACGCCACGCTCGCCCCTCTGTGACCCAAGACCGCTCTGTTCCCTACGACCACTCCGTCTCGCTCGCGCGCCTTTCCCACTCCGACCGCTCCCCCTGCTTCACCACTCCCGCCACCGCCCACTGCCCCCGCCTGGCAGGTGCTGCACGCGACGCCGATCCCGCCGGCGGTTCGCGAGCCGGAGGACGACGAGCCGGCGTGCGGCGCGGCGGCGGCGGAGGCGTGGGTGTTTGGGCGCGCGGTGCGGCTGCGGGTGCCGCACCGCTTCCAGCTCGGCGAGGTCGGGTGCGGGCTGTACGCCGTGGGAGTGCTGATGGACTACTGGCACGCGCAGGACAGAAGCCACCCCACGGCCCTCGTCAAGCAGATGGACTTGCCCGCCGCCGCCGAGGGCGCGAGGGCCGCCGCCGCGTGCTTGCGGGACGGAGGCGGCAGCGCGGCGCTGCGCGCGGCGCGGCGGCTGGCGCACCACGCTTGGGGAGAGGGGGAGGGCGAGTTTGTGGAGGAGAGGCTGCTCGACTTGCTCGCGAAGCGGGTGTGTGGGTGCTGCTCCGTACGGCGCTCCTCTTCGCAGTTGCATCACGGCCCGCACCTCCCTTCTGCAGGTTGGCGGCTCCGTGTACGGCGAGGCGTACGCGTGCGAGTACTTGGCGGAGGTGGCGCGCCTGGTGGGCTACCGCGCGAGGGTGCACCGCGCCGCCCGCATCGAGGCGCTGTGGGCGTGCCTCGACGCGGGCCACCCCGTGGCGGTCTGCGTCGACATCAACAACACGCGCACCTTCCTCCCCGACATGCTGGGCGGGCAGCACACCCACTTCGCCGTGGTGCGAGGCCGCCGCGGCTCGGGGAGCGAGACGGCTTGCGCCACTCACGCCCCTCTGCCGCCACCAGGTGGAGGGCTACTTCGACGCGGCGCCGTCCGCCGACGAGCGGCCGCGTCGTTTCCTGCTGGTGCAGCAAACCAACCGGCGCGCACCGTCGCCGAGCGTGTGGCCGCTCGACGTCTTTGAGGCCTCGTGGCGCGGCGGCGGGTGGCGGGGCAGGTACCGCAAGCGGCGCCTTCCGCCGCGGGTTGCGGCGCAGCTGTCGTGGCGGCTGCCGGAGGCCGCCGCGACCGGCGGCGACGCGGCGGTCGGCGGCAGGGCGGCGCGGGGCGGGCGGCTCGTGCTCGACAGCCGAGCGGAGCCGCTCGAGGGCGATGCGCTCGCCTCGCTGCACCGCCAGCTGATTGCTGCGGGCGTGCTGCAGCCGACGGGCGAGGCCGACGGCAGCGTGCGGCTGGCGCCCGGGGCGGAGCTGCACCACCACGACGAGCTGAGGCAGAGCCTCATTGAGGTTGTGCCAGAGGGGCACGCTTTTGCAGGGGTGTGACCGCGCATGTGATCGGAGGAGTGCGCCCATGCCACTGTGGGATTTCTCAAGGTTTTTATCTTATGTGATGCATGTGAAATGGGCCCGAGCCGCGAGCGAGCGAGAGCAAGTGCCACGCAGGAGATAACCGTTCTGCTCGCGTGGAGGTACGGTACCCTGTGTGCGGTGGAGACTAGTTGCAAATACGGGTGGTGTCACAATGACCACTTTTGATGTTTTTTTGTCCGTGTTGCTCCCAGCGCCCTCGCCCGCGCTCCCTGAGGCCATGGCTGGTGATACTAGTATGGGGGGCTACCTGGATACCGCGAGAGCGACCCAACTCGTCGACATCGTCCGATGATGGTGCCTCAAAGTCAGCCTCCGGAGGCTATCGTCGCGTCGAGCCGGCGGTGGCCGTGACATGTGGTTCCACCACCCCTCGCAGGCTTTGCCTCTGACCGCCACCGTTCCCAGGCTGCCTAATGGGATGGAAAGGAAGGCTGGGCGAGCGTATAGAAGCGTGCTCAACCTTGTCGTGGCAACCTGCACGGCAGCGCTGGCAGGCGCGATGAGCGTCGTGCCACCTGACCCGAGACGGGTCGCAGGCGTCGTACCGAGCGCGTCGAGACCGTGTCCTGATGCGCTCTGCACGGGTGAGTCACGTCGGCGTCAAAGGAGCGACGTGTGACCTGTCAGAGCTTGATCTCCGATCTCAGCGGCGTCGAGTCGCCTTCGGCGGCGACAGCTAGGATGCATCTCCTCCGTCGTTTTTCGCGCTACGGCCCTGAGAAGCTGGCGCCGCACGCAGGCGGACCTTGTGTATGCGGCGAACGCTTAAAAAGTGGGTGCTCTACGTCACTTTTTTTGAGTAGATAGTGCCGAGCTGGCCGTGACAGCGATTTTGGTAGTTTTGGGCGGGTTTTGCACCACAGACTTTTTGCAACTAGTCTGGAGTGTACCCGAGACGAGAGTGGAGCGAGAGCGGGCCGGGAGAGACGCGTCGCGAGCTCTAAGACACTAAGAGAGCAAACTCCAAACATGGAACTTCATCAACTTCAATCTCGGAACCCCGAGAGACCGAAGACACACCGTACCTCGCGCTCGCCGCCGCTCTCTCACGAGGGCATATCGACACTCGGGGCGCTTACTGCTTACGGCTTTACGCCGCGCAATTGATTTGTGAACGTAGCGGCGAGTGGTCGCTGGCGCGGTGGGCGCGCTCGCGGTTGGATCGCGTGGATGGCGGATGCGTGTCGTGTGTCGATGGACGAGTGTTCTAAATCGTCCCTACCAAGTCGCCCGAACTCGTCCTTGGTTCGACGTGTCCATCGCGGCGGCCAGGTTGACGGAGAGAGGGAGGAGCGGCGTTTCCTTGGCCATGCAGTAGCCCGCCTGGACGCCCTTCTCGTACGCCTCGTCGGCCAGGAACCTCGTCCTCGTCTTCCAAGTCTCCCGGGCCGAGTGCATGGCGGCGACGAGCATGCTCCATCCGTGCTCGTACAGCGCGGCGCGACGCAGCGAGCGGTGCGCTGAGGCCCATATCTCGGCGTCGGTGTCGAGCGCCTTCTGCCACGCCTGCGCGAGAGGGAATGCCCTGAGGGTGAGAGGAGTGAGAGTACAGAGAATAAGTTGTGCGCCAATACCTTGCAAGTCGCCAGAATGCTGCCAGCCGAGTTGACGTTGCTGCGTGCGACGCGAGCGTGGTCGAGCAGTGTACCGTCCATCGCATCCGTCGGGTAGATGCACTCGCGAGTGAGGTGCCGTGCGATCTCTACGACGACGACGTCGTCGAGTTTGGTCCAGTCGGGAGGGGGCATCGCGGGTGGGCCGGCAGACGGCGAAAGTGGGCCAGCTGAAGCAAGTGTCCCCAATCGCGGGGGGTGCCGATCGAGGGCTTTCGGTTGCTCTATTTCGTTTGGGCGCCCCTGTCCTGCCAGATTCTCTCCATTGGCTTGCTCGCGTAGTACGCCAGGCCTGCATAAATCGTTTTTCTTCTCGATCGCTGAGGCAAAAAAAAGATATGTCGGCCTGCGTCATCCGCGTCCTGCTTGTGCTCCTCGCGTCCGCGTCGGTGCATTCGCGGCCCAGCAGCAGCCGCTCGGCGGCTGGCCCGCTCGGCCGCAGTGCGCGCAGATTCCAGCGGAGCCTTGTGAGCCGCGGGCGGGACGTCGACTTGCGAGAGCTGGTTGAGGCGACGCGCGAGCTGTGCGCGGTCCTCCTAAAGTTCGGCGCCTACATGGGTCCCTCCGTCTCCGACGTGCGCCGCAACCTGGAGCGCATCGAGGAGGCCCGGCGGAAATGGCTTCGCGCGTCGCCGCGCCGCCGACAGCTCAGCATGAAGGCGCTGCTCGCGGCCGAGGTGGCGGCGGAGATCCACGGGCGTGGCGGAGTGCTCGCCGACCCTTCGGGCGCCATGGGCCTGCTCTGGGTGCGCCGCGGCCTCGCCATGTGGGCCGACACCTTTGAGCAGCAGGCGCGAGCCATGCAGCAGGCCGCCGTCACCGGCGAAGGAGAGGGCTCGCTCGCGGCGCACACGCGAGTGGCGTACGAGCGGACGGTGCAGGCGCACCACGGGTGGGTGTCGCGCCGCGCCTTTGGCGTCGCCTGCCGCGCGACGCCCGACTGGGAGACGGTCGTGCGCCGCGCGGGCCTGCGGACAGACAAGGGCGGCGACGAGGCGCTGCGGCTCGAGCTCAAGTGCTGGGCGGCGGCGGTGCGCGACCTGACCGAGGCGATGCGCTCGCTGCACACGGACCGCGACCTCGAGGACAGGCGCAAGTCCGTCTGATGAGCGGGGTAGTCGGCAGAGAGGGCGCGCTCTCTCTCTGCTTTCTCTCGAGCAGTCAGTGTCAGAGACACACACGTCACACCGACCTTTAGAGCTTTATACACGTGTTCTGCATGCCCCATGCCGCGCATGTCCTTTAATTACATTCATATCCATGAGACGTAAAGAGGTCCACGTTGCGCGACTGTACACATGCACATGCGCGATCTTCGCACTGCGGCTGGGGGGCTGCATGGGGAGGCTTTCCGAGTCAGATCGCAGGGAATCCAGAAAACGGCCGCACGCACATCGTCGGCTCAGAGCGCGGCAGCACCGGATCCGGCGGCGCCCTACCAGGGCGGATCCCACTGGCTCTGTCCCGTCTCGTCATTCACGTAGTACGTCTGCCCGCTCGCCGGGTCGACCGCCGAGGTCCAGCCCTGGTAGCCGCCCTGCTGTGTGTAGCCCTGCTGGTCGTAGCCGCCCTGCCGGCCTCCGCTCTCGTCGAAGCAGGTGAAGACCGCGCCCTCAGGGTTATTGCAGTCCAGGCTCACCTGCAGGCCGTCGGACAGCAGCACGCTCTCGCCCTTGTAGAGCGGGCTCCAAGGGCCGCCGAAGGCGCGATATAGCGATGGCGCCTTGCCACACCCGACCAGAGTGGGCGTGCCGTCGGCGAGGACCCTCACCATGCACTGCACCCGCGAGACGGTCAACGCCTCGTTCATCATGTTCCAGCGACTCAACACCTGGTCCTCGCCGTTGCGCACCGTGTAGGGCAGAGCCCAATATTTCGGCAAAGCGGGAAAGCGGAATTGAGGCATGGCCTGGACGCCGTAGCTAGCGTCAATGCGCCACTGCACACCGCCGTAGCTCTGCTGGTAGTTCTGCTGCTGATCCATGTAGCCGTACTGCATCCTCGCCACAGCACTTCTCACGGCACGATACGAGGCCGCACTGCTGGGCTCGACCGTCGGCAGCGTCCATCCTGTCACGTGAGGCAAAAAGCACAGCAGCAGACTCGTCATGGTAGGCCGAGAGGGCTGGAGAAGCCCTGTCACAGCGTCCCCGAACGCTGGGCACCACCAAGGCACCAGGGAAAAAGAATTGTACGCGGCACATACAAGCTGTCCCTCCCTTGGGTTGTTTTCTTTCTTTCTTTCTTTCTTACATACAAGCTGTCAAGCTCTAAACAAGATCATAAGCGGTGACCGCCTGCTCTGACGGATGCAGAACAAACAAAACGAGTTGTTTGGTATTGAAAATCTCTCTCTCTCTCCGGATGCAGACAGAACGAGAAAGAAACAAGGAAGGTACAGCCTCCGTGTGCTTGTTTCTACACGATTGGGAGGCCACTAGGCCCTTCCTCGCCTTTCCTTATCCTCGACGCGTCAACTATCCAGAACGTCCAAACTCATAAACCGTGATCGGTCCGGCCCTTGAAGTCCCTTTCGAGCTCACATTGTGATGCCCTCCGCGCGCCTTTACCTCGTGATCGCTGCAGCCGCCTCACAGACCCGTCTCCTGGACGGCGCTCCTGTCACCGGCTTGCTTGCTGAGCTCTACGAGTCGTTTCAGGCGGCGGAAAGAAGAGGCGGAGTCACCGAGTCCACGCCGGCAGACACGGCCAGCCGCCACACAGACCAGGGCTGTGAAGGCTGGTCGTGCTACCTCTCTTCCTGGGCCTGCTGCTCGACGAAGAGCGAGCCATCGGCGGTGCGTGAAGTTCCGGACGCGGCTAAGCGGTCCTTCCTCTCTGCAATTGATACAGCGTTGGAGGGGGAAGAACCCAACTTCGACCACTTAGCAGCAGGGTCGCAGCCGCAGGGCTGTTACAACGCACAGCATCGCTGGACCATGCCCTGCGACCTTGGCGCACGCCCGACCCACGCGGCGATGATGCAGCCGCACGGCATGACGAGATACCGCCAGAGCCACTCAACTTCGACGAGCAATACCTACCGCGAACTGCAACCTCCGCAAGATCCCAAGACGTTCAATGGAGGTTCCTTTTCATTTGCGGGTGGTTTTGACAATCAGCGCTCGGGGTAAGGAACACAACGTGACAAATACGCTCGCTCTCTCTCTCTTTCTCTGCAGACTCTCCACACTTACACTTGAGCACAGCACACGCTTTTGAGTCGAGCCTGTCGAGTCTCGAGTCGAGAGAGTTGTGGCTTGTGCGCTCTGAGCTCTGACTCCATGGCTGTCGCTCGATCACCGGACTGGTATCGATTCGTGGCGTTGCATTCATTATTTCTGTGTATAGAAAGAGACGAAGGGATCCACACACACGAGATCGGACTTCGGAGGCGCAACACGCTGGGAGGTGCGGGAGTGGGGAGAGGAGGAGCACCCGAGCAGACGCTCTCCCCTCTCTCGACTCTGGTTCGTCTGCCGCTCACTCTGACAGCATGCACATGACATGCAAATTCGGCAGTTCGGCACCACTGTCACCAGGGACATTCGCTCTCAAATATGTGACCAAGTGAGTCAGAGCTGTGTCAGTGCACATTGTGTGTGCTCTCCTCTCTCGGTATAAAAGGGCCCTGAATGCTGAAAAGGGTGATGGGTGTGTTCCGCGACCGCCGGCCGCCGTCACTCTTTGTTTCGCGTCTTTATTCCCCGGGACCTACCGGCACCGCCTCTGCGACACACCACCACGCCATCGTCCAAGCGCCGCGGCCCGAAGCTGCTCGGTCGCTCGGCCGCTCATACCAGGATGAGGTGAGGCTGACCATGTGCCACCCGCGCTCCGTAGACAGGAGACTGCGTAGTTGGCTCTCCGAGATGCGGCGCGGGTTGCTCCACGGGTCCGGGTTCGCGTCGGAGAAGCAGCCGACGAAGAGCTTGCCTCCGGCGCGCATCAGCGGGCGGAGGCCGTCGACGAAGGCTCGCTGCGAGTCGTCGTCGAGGCAGTGCAGCATCGCCGAGTCGAGCGCGACCTCGAAGCCACCGAGCTCGCTCGCGCGCGCCTGCACCCGCGCCGCGCCGGCGAGGTCGGTGGCGGAAGCGGCGACGAACTCTGTCGCGCCGCCCGCCGCGGAGATGCGCGCAGAGACGCTCGCGGCGCGCGCCTGCGCCATCTCGACGGCGCTCAGCGACACGTCGAAACCGACCACGTCGTGCCCGCGCTCGGCGAGCCAATTCGCGTTGTCCCCCGCGCCACAGCCGCAATCGAGGATGACGGTGCCCCGTCGCCCAAAGGCGCCCTCGTCGAACGCGTTGCGCACCGGCGGCTGAGGCCTGCCGAGCAGGTCCCACGGCACGCCCCCGGCCGCGTAGTCGAGGGAGCGAAAGTACTCCTCCGGCAACGCCTCGTCGTTGGCCGCCGCGAAAGCGTGCAGAGGCGCGCGCCTCGCCTCGTCCGCCGCCGCCGCGCCGCCGGCGGCCGCCGCCCTCGCTTGGCCTCGCTCCTGGTCAAGGTCGGCCAACGCGCCAGCAAGCCCCGGCCAGCCAGGCTCCGCCTCGAAGCCGCCGAGTAGCACGCCCTCTTTCCCAAACACGTAGGGCACCGACGGGCGGCCGGTGCTCATCGCCAGCTCGGCGTGCTCGGGGCTGTACTTGTCGACGACGACGTGGCGGTACGCGATGCCGCGGGCCTCGAGCTCGGCCCTCGCCTTGGTGCAGAAGCCGCAGCGCGGCCATGCGACCAGCGTAAAGGCGGAGGCAGTCCCTCCCTCCTCCTCCACCGCCTTGGTCTGCTCCGCGAGGCGCCGCCGCACCGCCAGCCAGTCGTAGGGCGGGGAGTCTCGTCTTGCATAGTCGGCGTAGATGCCGCCGCCGGAGCCAGGAGCGCCTGCAAAGCCGCAGCGCAGCATCTCTGCCGGCGTCGCCTCTCCAAGCTCACAGTCGGGGAGCGGAAGGTAGGTCGCCGCTCCGCCAGCCGAGGGAGGAGGCGCCTCGATGGCGAGACGGACGCCCCGCATCAGCCCGTGCTCCCTCTTCTCTGTGCGGAGCGGCGGGTAGAGGCGGCAGGCGTGCTCCGCGATGAGCCGCCGCTGGAGCGTTGCGGCGCGGACAAGCGCAGCCACGCTCCAGTCAGCCGCCTCCGGCGTCCCAGCAGCCAAATGTCCGACTGGCTGCCACACATCGGCCACGAGCGCGTGGATGGGCGTCGGTGCCGCACCTCGGCCGGCGGTGAAGGCGACGTAGGACAGCAGCTGGCGGCGAGGGCACGGCGCTCTGGCTGCGAGGCTGGACGGACCGCAGAGGCCACGGGTGGCCGCAGCAGCCAGGATCAAGCCAGGTAGCATGGGCTAGGCTGGCACCGTTCCTCGAGAGAGCAGCAGAGCTGGCGGCGGCGCGAGAATGGGAAAGAGTTGGCGGGCGCGAGAGCTGGCGGCGCTGGGCGAGAGCAGCGAGAAGCCCCAAGACCGGTGCCGGCGAGGTGTCCGAACAAGCACAAGAAATTGCGCGGGCTGTTCTTTTAGCTTGGCCGTACGTCATGATGAAATTCTGCAAAAACCTGGCCGGCCCCTGCCCTGCCCCTACCTACCTACCTACCTACCTACCCTACTTATGGGAAACTAAAAAAGAAATCAGGCCGGGTGAAGGTGGGGTACTATACCAACTGAAGTGATGGTTGGTCTCTCCTGCAACCACAGTCCTTCCTGTGACATGGCAGGCCACTCTCATGCCCTACAAAGCATCAGATCACCCACTTGGGGAGGGTTGACATCGATCATCGTGATTTCCGCGGAAAATTTCTTTTTCTGCCTGTTTCTGCTGAGAAAATTCCAGCGTGAAGAGAGGGAAAACCCCGACGGGAGGGCCCAGACCTACCCTACCTACCGCGTCATGACGTACGGCCAATATGCAAGGAACAAACACCCGCTTCTTGAGCACTTTTGTGCACTGGATTGGGTCGATTCCGCATGGCACGGGACCCCTCGATCGTCGTGTTTCTTCTCACCATTTCCTGAGACGGTGCCGACGGGACGCCGCTCGAAGGGCGACTCCCGCGGAGGCACGGACTGGCATCCGTGGGCCGTGGGCCCGTGGCCCGCCCGCCCGGGGGCTCGACGCTCGTCTTCGAAAAGTCAGGTATGGCTCCGCCCGCAACTTTCTCGCTGACACGCGCGCCCCGTCGAGCTTACGGCGGAACACCTCACACGACCCCACACATGGTCTTGTCCGTGCCCTGCGGCCGGGCGGCGAGATTGCTAGAGGCGGAGCAGTCTGCTCTAGCCTCACACGTTATTCGTTACCCCCTGTCGCCTGTCTGTGTTTGTGTGCTGTTGTTTGAGCCCTTGGCACCGTGGGTGCTGGGGGGGGCGACAGGGGGGACGTGGCCAAGAGTGATGTGTACGCCCACTCGGGGTGTGTGGCAGCCCAGCTGGATGACATGTGTGTCTTGTGAGCTTGTGTGTGTCTGTGTGTCGCTCGAGCGTGTCGCCGTCATCTGTCCTGCATCTGTCTCGCGTCCACCCATACCGCGTTGGTCTCCAGTCCGAGCCTGACTGTTCTTCACCTTCCTAGATACATACATACTGAGTGTCTTGTGAGCTTGTGTGTGTCTGTGTGTTGCTCGAGCGTGTCGTCGTCTTCGGTCTCGCGTCCCCACCCACCAGCCGCGTGTGTGAGTGAGTATTCTTGATACGAAACCACGACGACACACACCAGTCGACTCGCATCGGTTGCCTCCATTAACGGCGGAGCTATTCTCGCGCCCACACCACACCTGGCTCCAACGTGGACACGCCCATAGCTGGGAACACTACTAGGTCACGCATGGCATCAGAAGTTTTATCTCTGGGCCCCGAAAGGCATCTCTAGCAGCGTCGTTACGCATGCTCCCTCCCCTCCTGGGCGCATGCGCCTCACATCTCGCCAGAGCATAAGCCCTTGGTGTGCAGCGAGACGAGTTTTTCGCCATCGCCGCGAGCAGCAAGCCGCCCGCCGCAAACAGCCGGAGGCATCGCCACGGCACAGACTGCGCCGCGATCCCGCACCCGTCGACGAAGCTCCCCCCGCGGAAGACCGCGCGTAGCGACGCCTTGACGATCGAGATGAGCGCGCTCGAGGCTCGCCCACCTACTCTGCCCCTGAGAGTTGGTTACTGAGTGGGATCAGCTCCCCCCCTTGGGATCGAAGCCGCCACAACCTCACACCCAACACCACAGGTGGGATCAGAGAGAGACTCCGCACCGGACACCGCCCGGGCACAGACTCCCTACCCATCGGATCGCACAGGGGCCCCCTCGGAGCAGCCCACACACAATCACGCATCGGCAGAATTAGTGCCTGAGTCAGGCAGACAGCAGACAAGGAGGAGAGAGGAGAGAGAGAGAGAGAGAGAGAGAGGAGAGAGGAGAGGGTGAGGGAGTGTGCACACGTGAGGAGCACAGGTAGGGTGTCTGTGGTGGGCTATAGTCATACTACGTGGTTACAACCACGCGCCCCTCAGGAGCTTAAGGTAGAGCTGAGCGTCCACACACACACACACACACACACACACCACCAGCCGCCCGTGCAGCGAATCGAAGGGCCCCGATGGCTAGCCCGATGTGACCTCAAAAAGGGCCGATTGGTGCTTTTAGCTCGACGCTTTTAGCAGTCCGCTCGCAGTCCGCACTCTCACGCCCCGCTGCGGCACCTTGTCCTTGGATGTAGCTCTGCAAAGGCGCAGCAAGGCGATCCCGTCGATGCCGAGAGCGCGAGCGCACCAATTGGCGCGGCGTGACGACTGCTTTGGCCTTTGCAGCCAAAGGCGTCCGCAAGACTGCTTTGCAGCCGAAGATCCGCAAGCACCGCACGCGCCTCCGCCTTCACGCTTCAGCTCATCGGCAGGACGCAGTGACTCCCAACTAGTCCCACGCAGGTCGCAGAGTTGGAGAGGCCGCCTACCCTCGCACACCGCCCCCAGTGCAGCCCGACAGTCGTCACAGCTTCTTGTTGGGCGTGCGATGTGCAGCTCGGACATCGCTTGAGGCGTGATTTTTGCACAAACATTTTATTTGGGAAAGCCTCAGCCCGCCCGGTCAAGCGCTCAAGACAGAGCGGCCGGCGGGAGAGAGAAGCAGCGCGGGATGGGAGAGAACGAAACGACCCACGCACACTGGCAGGCACGGAGTGAGGCATGCCACAACGGTGCCGAGCGGTCGTAAAGGAGCATGCGTGTATGAGCCCATTCTGCGTTCCTTCAACGCCTCTGTCTATTCCTCTCGCTGAGCTACTTGGTTGGAAAAGGATGACGACCAGAGAGGCGCCCAACCCGAGGAACGTCTACTCGGGAGGGTCTGCTGCTGGTCGCTGCTTGGCTGTGGCTCGACAACAACAACATCTTCACTCAGCATGGCAAAAGGCGCGCCGCCGACCGAGAGAGCTTGCAAGGACGGCCGAAGGCCGCGTGATCATTTTTTTTAAGCAAGCTTCCTAACCATAAAAAAGAACTCGGCATTGCTCAGAAGGAGAAAGCGGATACAAAACAAGAACACAACGCACTCTCTCACATGACAAGCGATCCCACGAGGCGGTACACTCAGGCAGAGGCGGTAAAGGCAGTACTCGGGCCCATCGTAGGTCTTGTCTAGGGGCCATTGGCACTCCGGGCATTGCTCGGCGTCGTCGGGGACGCGGTCCCGGCCGCATGCATGGTGGCCGCGGCGTGGCCGGGGAGGGCGGCGTGGCGCCGGCCGGCATCTCCAGCGGGGGAGGCAGGCTCGGGCGGCGACGGCGGTGCCGACGGCGGTGGCTGTGCGTCGCCCGCCGGTTGTGGGTACAATTGGTCTCCAGTCGGCGCGGCGAGGGGGGTGGGTGGTCGCGCGCGCGGCTCCAATCCCGATCGAGCCATGTTGGGTTGGTCGGACGGGAGGCGGGCAGCCTCTTGGTCGGGGGCGTCGCTCCCGAGGAGGCTGTTGCACGGCTGGTCGGCGACGGTCGACCTCGTGGCGGAGGCGGGGGCGCTAATCGTTCCGGCGCCGCATCGTAGGCACTGGTAGGACGACTGCACCACCCCGCAGCAGATCCGGCCTGCCCAGAGAGAGCATGCGTTCGAAACGCGAGAGTGGCACCGGCGTGTAGCCTCGAAGGGGCAGCCGGGGTCTCGCGTTTAGGGTCGTACAAAGATGTACGGTACACGAAGCAGGGCGCGAGCCGCGCACAAAAGCTGCACAGAAAGCAACCCCGCGTGACACAATCGAGGGAAGAAACTCATTGTGAGACAGAGGGTCACGCGGGACATGAGCAAGGTGCCAAGGGGGCACCACAGAGAGTAGTTACTATCTCCGCATTCCAACGCCCCCCCCCAGGTCGGTATGACCTGAGAAGATGTGGAGATGGGAGAGCATGCAAAGTCTGCCGCGCCTGGGAAGCATACGGATACGCGGACGTGGGGCATCCCACCCCGATCAGACTGGGCTACCCCGAGGGGAAGCGAGAGGTTCTACTCGTGCGAGATGTTCATGATCGAGTCGCGCAGCGAGAAGAAAGAGGACGGCTTGAGGTCGCGATTGACGGAGGCGAGGCGCGGCGCGGAGCCGGAGAGAGAGAAGGCGCGGGCGCTGGGGCGCAGGCCGGAGGCGGCTCGGGCGCGAGGGCGCCGGCCGGAGAGAGAGAAGGCGCGGGCGCTGGGGCGCAGGCCGGAGGCGGCGCGGGCACGAGGGCGCAGGCCGTGGTCGCCCTTGACGGAGGCGAGGCGCGGCGCTGAGCCGAAGGTGTGGACCCCTTTGCCCCATGTCTGCGCTGGGGTGGCCCTGGATCTCACCGGAGATACCATCATGGAATTGGCAGCCCCATGCGGCGCGCCCTTGTCTCGGGCGAGGAGCGGCTCCGTGGACCACAGAGGGGCAGAGCCGAAGGTGCGGACCCCTTTGCCCCATGACTGTGCTGGGGTGGCCCTCGGCATGGAATTGGCAGCCCCATGTGGCGCTCGCAGATCTGCACGCAACGAGAAGCGGAAAATGGAGGCCTCGACCTGGTCGAGCACGATCCACGAAGAGGTGCCAGCGCGTGAACAATGTGAAGCGCCGGCGGTGCGAGGCGAGCCATCACGCTCGAAGACGAAGGCGAGACTCGAGTCCTCGACGGTAGCGACGGCGACGCCCTCGACGGTACAGCCGATGGTGATGGCGCCGGCGGCAGAGGCGCTGGCCGATCGCTCGGCTACGGCGGAGGTGGTAGAGCACGTCCGCTCGCAGTCGAGGCCGGCGCAGGCGTCTCGCGCGCTGGCCCGAAGGGAGCCGGCCGCGCGAGGCGAGGCAGCGCACTTGACGGCGATGCCTTGCTCGACGGTACGGCCGACGGCGATGGCGCT